TTATGATTGTGCTTCTCTTCAAATCTGTCTACGAAATATATTCCTTCCCCCCTTTAAAATTTTATATGCATGAATGCACCACATCCGACCCTTGTTTCTGCCCTAGCTTCTTCTGTAAGATGGTCCATTTTGTCATTTACTCTGTAACCCTCTTTGCGACATACAAATTGGGCAGAAGTAATTTCTCCAGTTTTAATGTTTTTATTGGAATAATCTATTCTCACACTAAATCCAACTTCACGTCCGTATGCATTGTAAAAGTCGTGTGCATTTTCAAAGGGCTTTAACATCATTCCAATTTTGGATTTACGGCCTCCTTCACCTAATGGACTATCCATTTAAAACCACCACCTATAATAAGATAACAAGGTGTCTTAGAGAATGCATGAAACCTCTTGTTTACATGTCTATTTGTTTGTGTGTCTGTTTATTGTTTACAAAAACACACATATATGAATAAATCTCAAACTTTCATTACACTATCCCAAGCAGAATACAACAAAGGGGTTTATGGCCTCCTTCACCTAATGGACTATGCATTTGAAAATTGGAGGAAAAAAAAAAAAAGCACAAATGATAAGAACTATCTTACCTTTAAAGTTCAAATCATGACATTCAAATCCTAAAACCATTAGGATACCAAAATTTTGTTTCAATTCAAATCTCTTTCAAGTCATAATTAATAACACAATCAAAAAATTCAATTGTGTTCTTAAATGATACGATACAATTACAATTTTTAAATGCTAGCTAAAAATTTAAATAACTTGCCTTGACTATATTGTTAGCCATAATCAAACATTGAATTCTTTTCAGTTACAGAACCCCACTTCATCATCTACCTTTTGTTAAAGGTGTTCAATATGCCTAAGTGTATTCTAGGGGGTGTAAGTAAATAGATCTAAGAAGAACCCAAATTTTGGTTTCCTATCCTTCTCCTCTGCCTTCTCGACAACAAAAAAGAGGTTTATATGGAAGAATTAAGTTTTCTTTCCAAAATAGCGTGAAAATTAAAAAGGAAAAATCAGCATACAAAATTTATATGTTGAATTTTTTATTTTAAATGATTTGCCTTTTCCAGTATTTGAATTTGACGGGAATAATCGAGCCAATTAGAAATTTATGGAACTTCATTTTTGGTGAAGGTACGAGTTTTTTTTTAAAGTTATGTGTTACGTTCTTTAATAATTTAGACTAATCTATAACTGAATACTTTTACTACGTTTGTTTGTCGAGAAAATGGAGGGGAAAAGGAATTAAAAATTTCATTCTGATGTCGATTGGGTAACCAATATTTGAATAACTTCACTCAATTCAAGCCAGAAGTGTGAATTAAGATATGTTAATTCTGGAAGGTATTAAACAATGAAATTCCAATTGATTCAGATTTTGATTTTGTTTTCTCTTCCCACATTTTACAAGCAATCAAACTGAAGGTTAATTCTAATTTTAGTTTTGTTAAGTTTAGTTTTGTTTAATCTCTAGTTCTATGATATTAGGACAAATCTTCGCAAATACAAGTGCTAATAGTTAATTACCTAATTTCTCTAATTCTCACGACACTCAAGTTGCATGAGTTTTGTCACTGCAATTGCATGAAACATAACGATGATAAACGTATGACAACTAATATATATATATCGAAATAAAAATAAATAAATAAATAAATGAGAATCTAAATGGAGTCGTCATGATTTGTGAATGATTCGTTGGTCATACATATAATATAAAGTTGTTTTACTTAAATATAAATTATTCACATTCCACATATTAATTTACTTTATGGATTATCAATTATCTATATTTGCTTTATTTTCAGTATACATTGTAAATAGATATATGGGAGGAAATTAAATTTAGATTAGAATAACCCAAAATTTGGTTTCCTATCCTTCTCCTCTACCTTCTCGACAACAAAAAAAGAGGTTTATACGGAAGAACCGAGTTTTCTTTCCAAAATAGCGTGAAAATTAAAAAAGAAAAATCGCATACAAAATTTATATGTTGAATTTTTTATTCTAAATGATTTGTCTTTTCCAGTATAATGATATACTGTGTAGAAATAAGTGTAATTTTTAGAGAGAGAGTTAGGGTTTATGAAGAGGGAAAGAGAGAAAGAAATAGTGAGTACCTGAAAATACAGCCGCAAGACAGAGAGGAAGTGATGACTGAAAAACCCAGTACCCAGTATGCTATTTTGAGATACATTGTGACGAGAGAGGGAGATGGCGTACAGGGAGGCTCTGAAGTTCGTTTTTTTTTCTGTTTGTTTTTTTTGGTAGGGATGTGGCAGAAAAGATATTTTATTTTTCTTTTTTCCTTTTTCTTTTTTACTTTCTATTTTTTTTTTATTTTTTTTTTATTTTTTGTTAACGTCGTTTCTTTTTCCATTGGACTCTACAGTTTCCAATTTACAAACAATTTTTTTTTTCACTACAGTATGGGTACAGCACGACCCGTTTACAGTAGAGGATCTCAGTCCCCATAAGTGTCCCTTATTTACTTTTTAAATTTTAAGAAGCGTCTGTCATAATCATTCAAGATTTTGTTTGCATATTTAATAAAACATAGGGGATTGTCTGGTCGCCGTATCCACTGGTATGCGAGGTATAACTCGTTTGGTAATTCTTTTTTAAAAATTCGATATTGTTACACACTTTTATGAATTAATTGGTTCAGTCAGTTTACACTTATATTCGTCCAAATCCATTATACTGTTACAGCGATCTTTACCTTGATCGATACCGCGATTGCGAATCATTGTAGTGATTTCCTCTGCATTATCTTCAACTAGGAGGATCCCACTAAGGAATCATCTTAGTGATTTCCTCCTACACACGATTTTAGTTAAGTGGTCAGATTCAAATGTTTGAAAGTTTTGATCAATGGAAAGGAAACGTAATTCAATTGTTTTGTATTAATGGGTATAATGACAAGCACGTTCACCTGTACCTTTCATCACCATCTTCCCCAATAATTATTTTACCTCTATATATATAGAGAGAGAGAGAGAAGTAGCATAGAGAGAGAAGTAACACACACACAAACACACAGAACAAATGTGGTTAATTATGAAGATCTTGATCTTATTTGGCTTATTCATATTCAATGGGCTTATCCTCCATTGCCAAGCTTTGGTTCGTTACACTTTTGTTGTAAGTATGATAATATCATTAATTTGTTCATATCGTATGAAATTATTGAACTGAATGACTGATAATCACTAAGTTTTGTGGTTCTAATTATTCGAAACAACATTTCTCATGAAGAGTAACACTGTTTTTTGTATAAATATCAACATTAAGATGAATCATGCTTATTTTTTTATCTAATATATTCTATATCCATGCATGTATATAAATATATTGTAGTACGTACATATTAAATTGGTGACTTAGTATGTAAGTATTTGTAAAGAATAATATTGGGTAAATTAAAATGATCTCTATTGAGATTTAGGTAACTAAGGTATCGCTAGAGTGTTTGGTTATTATTAGTTTTGTGGTTTTAATTATTCGAAACAACATTTCTCATGAAGACTAACACTGCTTTTTGCATAAATATCAACATTAAGATATATACATCATGCTTAATTTTTTTATCTAATATATATATATATATATATATATATATATATATATATATATTGTAGTACGTACATGCATATTAAATTGATGACTTAATATGTAAGTATTTGTAAAGAATAATATTGGGTAAATTACAATGATCTTTTTAGATGTTTAAGTACCGTTTGGCTATTATTACTTTGACCTCTCCTGAGATTTGGCGTTTGTGTTCATCAACATTACCTGTCGTTGATGAAAATTCAAAAAATGACTATGTTGCCCTTTTCTTATTTTAAAAGACCTTAATAACCTTATATTTTGATATGAATTGTTGTTGAAATACAAAGTATCAATTTTCATACTAATTTCATATTCTTATATTTTACAATTTTTTTTTTTAATGGTTTGATTAGGTTTATTTTTTTTTCAGGAAAAAATATAAGTAGGGTAATATAATGCTTGAAAGAAGGGGAAAAAAAAAAAGTAATAGAGTATTTTTATTTGACAGATTTTTTTATTAAATTAGATAAGGGGATGAAAGATATTTCATATTTCTAAAGAGGTTAAGGTAATAATGATCAAACACTCTATCCATATGTAATTTATACAATCCTTAGAGAATGTCAATGTAATTTATCCAACAATATTTGGAGAAACGTCCAACAAATTAATGATGTGACATAATCATATACAATGTCACAGGTTCATTTTTTCTCAATAAATAACAGGTTCATTTTGAACTTAAAATATAATAGAATGAAAATTATAATTTTATTTACTTATTTTTTAATATATATTTTAAATTTAAGATGAACATGTGTCATTGTAATTGTCATTGTATCATTGTGTTGTTCACATCATTAGCAAACCAACGGGCCAGTGGCATAACAGTATCAGCCTCTTACCTCCCAAATGAAAGTCAGGAGTTTAAGTCTCAAAAGAGACAAGCGTATATGTACCAATTAGGATAATAATAATAATAATAAAATAAAATAAAATAAAAACATCATTAGCAAGGAGACAATTGTCATTTTGTTGTTAATATCATTAGCAGGGAGACAAAAACAAAAAAAACAAAAAAACAAAACAAAACAAAACAAAAAAAAAAAAGAAGATTGTAAATGTCAAATCTGGCAACTTGCTATTTTATGATCTTGACTCGTGAGGGCATTGATCAAAAATTGGGATTAGAAAAATGCTACAAACAATTCAGAAACACACAGAGCTAAACTTAGTAATAAAAATTAACAATAGTTAATATATATATATATATATATATATGAGTTCTCATTCTATATTACACGGAATGACTTGAAAATTAAAAAAAAAAAATAGAGCATGAGAACTATCCCTACATTCAAAAAATAATAATAATAAATAAAATAAAATTTGTTTCTATCGACATCTACAATTATTATTAATATTATCATTATTATTATTATTATTTTATTTCATTCCAGGTGAAAGAAGCTCCATATACAAGACTTTGCAGCACCAAGAACATCTTGACAGTAAATGGACAATTTCCGGGACCAACTCTATACGTTCACAAAGGAGATACAATAGTGGTCGATGTTCATAACAAGGGCAAACAAAACATCACAATTCATTGGTATATATATGATTCTGCAGTTTCCTTTTTCTTTTTTCTCTTCTTTTCAGTTTTGCCAATATATATATATATATATATATATATATATATATAACAAATAAGTATATGTAATTTGCAGGCATGGAGTGAAACAGCCAAAGTATCCATGGTCAGATGGTCCTGTATATATCACACAGTGCCCTATTCAACCAGGAGCAAAATTTAGCCAAAATATCGTATTTTCCACAGAGGAAGGAACTCTATGGTGGCATGCTCACAGTGATTGGTCACGTGCCACTGTCCATGTTGCTATTCTTGTCTATCCCAAGCTTGGAATTGGCTACCCTTATCCTAAGCCTTATTCAGAAGTGCCCTTAAATTTAGGTATACAAATATTATTTTCGTATTATATAAATATATACGTGTGTGCATATACAATAAATACTCATCATTTTCTTTTTTTTCTGAAAGGTAAATTACTCATCATTTTCCTTATTTATAACAAGAGTACTGATGTTGTCTGAAAACACAAAAAGTTTTGGATCCACCATTGAGTGTGGTGAGTCACACGTGGTGTAATTAGGGCTACAATTCGGATCAATTGGATATACAATATATTCAGGTCCAACCCTCCAACCTGACATATGAAATGGTCAACTTTGACCCAACCTGAACCCAATCTTCTCTTAAATTCTTAAACTCTGGTTTGTAACTTGAGTTAAAATTTCATGTTAGAAAGTTGAATTAATTCAAATTCTCCATTTGGTCAATTCCCCATAGTAATATTAAAATTTTAAAGTGATCATTAGTTAGTTTCATATTAAATTACTCCTAAGCATTAAGAAGAAGAAGAAAAAACCTTAGAAAATTAATTCTCAAATTATTAACATACACAAAATTAAGATTTAAACAAAGAAAGTTGAAATGGAAAAGTTGATTATAATTTGAATATTATATATAATATATTCAAAAATTTATATATATACATATATATATATATATATATATATATATATATATATGTATGTATCTAATATTATAATTCAGGTTCAAATTGGGTTCATGTTATTGACACTTCAAATTGGGTTGAAATTTTTAATTCAAACCTAATCCTAATTGTAAAAATAATTATCCAAAATCATAAAAAATGAGTTGGTTCGAATTGGCATGTCTAAAATTGCACCCCTAGGTGCAATGTGCATTATTCGGCCCAAGTAGCTTTATTCTTTCTGGTATTATTGCAAAAGGAATCAAAATACTCATCTATTGGGAGTAAAAAAGGAAAGAAAAAAAAAAACTATTGGGGGCAACCAGATTCAGAAAATAGCCGTTGGAAGTGTCATACGCTTCGATCTCGTGGGCTGACTTATTGGATTTACGGGATTGGACTTCAATGTTTGTATTTGGGCTGGGCCAATCCTTTTGTTCTCTTCCCTTGTAGTCCTAACTGGCCTTACTTAGGCCCATGCCTACTTGGTGGGAAACTACACATTTACACAATTTATTAGGGCTACATTATTGACAATCCTGAGGTACCCCAATTTTTAGGTGCCAATTAATATTGGTATTTTGGTAAATTTGCAACATCAAGATGATGAATTTAATGAAATTTTTTTTTTTTGGGTAAATAATTTAATGAAGATATTTGATGGTAGAAAAAATAAATTATACTTGAATGCAGGTGAGTGGTGGAAGGAAGATATAATGGAGGTTCAAAATGATTTTCTTGAGAATGGAGGAGATCCAGTTGTGTCTGATGCTCTCACTATAAATGGTCAACCTGGTGATCTCTATCCATGCTCGAAATCAGGTGCGTATCTTTTATTATTTTTGTATTTTTTTTAATGTTAATTTATACTTATATTTCTTCTTTTTATTTTTGGCTTCATTATACTGTTAAATAGAACATGGTAGACATGCACACAGTTACTAGTTACCACTAAGCCAAACAAAATGGACATTACCCAATGATTTAGTGTCCAAGTGCGACTTGTCCCACATCAAATCCCGATGGAGAAGTGAATGTATATGTATCGGTTGGGTGTTAGTCCCATTTAATAACTTAAGTTTTTTTGGTTGGATTGCGAATCACCTGACTCGCTACAGTTGATATCAAAATTAGACCCATTCCTTGATCCGGTGTCACGGCAAACGCCAGGTCCGGTGGAATCCGGGTCAGCAGCCCGGATAGACAGAGTGATCCGATCGCAACAAAGGCGATGCGAGCAAAAAACAAAAAATAAACTTGCAATATTAATTGATGTTTTGGTATTTACAGCTCCACTTTTAACTAATTAAAATTAAATATGGGACACATGAAATATGGACACTCACATTAAATTTGAAAACTACAAGTTTCATTACAAGTGGAACATGATTTTAAAAATAGGCATGTATATTTCTAAAAATGGGGAATATATATATATATTCCAAATGGCATATCTACAGCTTCATTAAAATTTGTCATATTTTTTTTTTTTTCCAAAATATGTAAAACAAACAATTTTAAAAGTGCATGACCTTCCACTTAAACTACATATTTGCAGGTACATTCAAGTTAATGGTGGAACATGGCAAAACCGATTTACTCCGCATGATCAACGCCGGCATGAGCGACATTTTCTTCTTCTCAGTCGCAAAACATCACCTCATAGTCGTTGGAACGGATGGTAGCTACACCAAGCCATTCAAAGTTGACTATGTCGCAATATCCCCCGGACAAACCCTAGATGTCTTACTAGAAGCCAACCAACCTCCGGACCACTATTACATGGCCACTAGGGTTTATTCGAGCGCCAATGGTGTCATCTATGACAACACAACCGGGACAGCCATCGTCCGCTACAAAGGAAACTACGCTCCATCTTCATCTCCTTCCTTACCTAAACTTCCAGACTATAATGACACAAATGCGTCGGCTAATTTCACTGGTAGATTCAGAAGTTTAGCTAGTGAAGACCACCCCATCAATGTCCCATTAAACATGACCACCAAGCTCATTTTCACTGTCTCGGTCAATACCTTACCATGTGCTGATGATTCGTGTGATGGACCAGATGGTACTAGGCTCTCCGCGAGTGTGAACAACATAAGCTTTGTGCCTCCATCAATTGACATACTTCAAGCTTACTATAATCACATCAATGGTGTGTACGGAGATCAGTTTCCTAATTTCCCGCCATTGGTATTCAATTTTACTGCGGTTATCTTCCTTTCAAGCTATAGTTGCCGAAAAACGACACTGAAGTGAAAGTACTTGAATATAACTCCACGGTTGAGCTTGTTTACCAAAACACAAACTTGGTTGCAGGGACAGACCACCCCATGCATTTGCATGGGTACAGTTTCTACGTGGTCGGGTGGGGATTTGGTTATTTCGACAAAGATAAAGACCCTTTGAGGTATAATCTCGTCAATCCTCCATTGCAGAACACCATTGCAGTCCCTAAGAATGGATGGGCAGCCGTTAGATTCAAGGCAAACAACCCTGGTATGTGTGCCATGACATCTACAAAACTTAATTAATAATGGTTTTTTTTTTGAATTATTGTCAATTACAAAACTATATATATCCGCTTTAAGAGCTGATTAAGAAAATGTATGTTTTGCTTCAGGAGTGTGGTTCATGCATTGTCATATAGAGCGCCACCTAAGTTGGGGGATGGAGATGGCATTCATCGTGAAAGATGGCGAGTGCCGAGAAGAAAAAATGTTACCTCCACCTCCTTACATGCCGCCATGTTGATACTTCTAACGAAGTCAATATCATGATTTTGTTTATTATATATATTTATATACGTGTGTGCAATAATCAGTTATTTTTTATTTTTAGCAACAAATAAGATTTTTCAATGAGATACAACAATTGTCCAAATCAAATGGACAATAATCTTCATTGGGGGAGAATTTCAAAAAACTTTTCAAATTCTACAACAAGTGTTTTTTATGTAATTTTGAAACATCATGCAATTCATACAACGCTAGACAATTCTTCTCTCACATACGTCTCTTTGTTCAATTTTCTCTTATAACTACTCATTATTTGATGTCTATTAAGAATGAATAAATTAAGAACCATGATCCTCAACTTGAAACAAAGAGCCTAAATGACTGAATGAGGATCTGCAACAAATAAGTTTCGTGCAAATTCATGAATTTTGCAGCTATTAACCTTTAGTGAAGAAATTTTTTTGTCACTGGTTCGTCCCTATATTGTGACGGTTTACAGTCAAGAAGTAACGGTGATGATACCATTAAAAAAAAAAAAAAAAATTCGTCGCTAAATCTCCATACAATATTTACTCACTTTCAATAACTAGCTGCTACGGCTCCATTCGTTTGCTATGATTGGTCGGGACCATATTTGAGATGGTGGTCCCAGAACTAGACAATACACAGCAGATGATCCAAATTCCACCATCAAATCAAGTGGCAAAAAAACTTGAGTCTTGTTTAATATTTTTACATCTGATTAGATATAAATAAATGTGACATTTGAATCACAACTCAACCTTGAAATTATACCATGCCAACTACATAATCAAACTCACAATGGGGTGAGAACAATTAAGATCTACACACAAGATCAATTTCAGTGGGAGGAGATTCGAAAATCCATATTTAATTCCCAACCTCGACGGGCTCAAAACCTTTCTCGATGGATGCCTTGACTGCATTCAGAACCATTTGCGTCTTCCTACTCAGAGTAGGCCACTTCTTCTCAGGTTTCAAACCATTTCTTTTAATACCTCCAACCAATCCAGAAAACTCCTTCACCATTAGAGCTTCCTGGGGAAGATCTGTCACGACAATGTGCTTGCTTGGCACTGGTACCCAACCTGTCACGAGTTCCGTGAACCCAGATTCGGAAGCAAAAGAAAATGAAGCCTTGTTCTCTTCAAAAGGGATAACAAAGTCGTTGAGATGCAAAGTTCCCTTCGTTCCAATAGCGGTGACATCCATGGTCAAGTGGGAGAGAAAAGAGCAATGGAAGGTTGCTACCTTCCCATCTTCCCAGTATAAAGAAGAGCCGCAAGATAGAATTACTCCTGCTTCGTTGAGAACAGGCTCACGCAGAGCTATCACCGATTTAGGTAGTTCAAAATCAGCTGCCCATAGGATTGACCTGATGGCATACCACCCAACATCACCAAGAGCACCAAGGCTATCAAGATCTGGCTTCACACGAATGTCATTCTTGAGAAAATCTGGGTCACTGGCAAATGTAAAGACGCTATGTACCTGTGGGATTTACAAGAGATCATTTTTCTAGCAGATCACATTAAATACTGATTGTGTTAAGTGATTAAGAAGATGCATATTCAATTTGAAAACACATAATTCATCAACAATAAGGCCACGACTCATGAATTCAACAAGAAAAAGGCTGTTATTTCAATCACATGCATCATCAATGTGGAAGTAGATGGAATGGATTATCACAATATTTAAAAGAAGAAACGATATTCATAATATAAGCACAAGCCAAACTGTTGAAATGCAAGCATGTATCTTTATCTCATCCACCAAAACTCTCACACACACCAACCATTTGGGCACCACTGGTAGAAAAAAAAAATTTCCGCATAAAGAGTCAGTTAATTAAAGGGCTAGCCCAGTGCACAAGGCTCCCGCCACTGTGGGGTCTGGCACCAACCATTTGCGCACCACTGGTAGAAAATAATCTTTCCCACATAAAGTGTCGATTAATTAAAGGGCAAGCCCAAGAAACAAGACTCCCGCCACTGTGGGTCTAGGGAGTGTCACATGTGCGATATCACCCCTTCACTAATTACAAAAGGTCTTCAGATTAAAACCTCCTTGTTCATGATACATGACTATGTAGTGAACTCTATACTCATCTTTCAATGATGCAAACATCACCCATTTCCATGCAACTCAGTCCCCCGCCTACCTAGGCAAAGGTTGGCGCAATTTGGAAGAAAAACAAGAATGATTAGTCTCTCCGTGTGTTTGTTTGTGTGTGTGAGAGAGAGAGGGTTGGAGAAGGAAAGAGGAGGAAGGGTATCGAGAATGGCTTATGCCATATGAATGGAAGGATATGATTCAATTTCTCACTCCATAGCGGAAAACGCTGCTGGTAATTTCAAAAGATTTCCCTCACTTTTCAAAATTGACTGCTGTTGTATGTTCGAAAACTCCAAATGAGCTCAATTCAAGTGGGTCAGTCATGCAAAAAGAAGAAAAGGATGCAAAAATATGTATGTTAGAGAATCAAGATCAACATCTGTTTCAAGCATCAAAGAGAAGTGGGGTAAGTTAGTTGCAGAAGTCAAATCATTTCATAGTTGGCTTATTTTTGCCTACGAACACAGCATTGATATCTTTATGGTTGAAAATCCCTCCAACCTTACAAGAATGATTCTTTATAGTGTTGCTGAAGAGAACTATAACGAATAGAGTCATCCGAAAGCAATAAACATTTTACAAAATATAAGGTTCAAGTTTTACTCATTTATTTCTTGTGATCGACATTAATGCATATAGCTTGAACAGACTTTAAAAAGATATGCAGTCCAGTTTGTGCGTGTGTGTGTGTGTGAGAGAGAGAGAGAGTCAAGGATCAGTACAGCTATAAGAGTGCAATCAGTTCATTTTGTTGATGAGAGTGAATGATTAGAATCTGTAAGTATATGCTTTGGAAAGACAAGTGGATACCCCACATTTAATTTTCAGGGAGACTCTCATGCCTCAAGTCTTTGAGAATTCTATAAAGTTGTTTGATCATATTATTTGAATTGATATTATGTCTTATTAAATGCCCTTCTTTGCAGGTGTTTAACTCTGGAGTTTCCAAGGAACTTCCCTCACAAATGTTGGAAGGAAGTGCCTCTGCGGAAACATAGCATCTCAGATGAGCCACCAAGGCTAGGGTGGCAGAGCCAAGTAATTGAAGCTCAAGGATGCTTTGGCTTAGGGATGGTTGGTAATGAAGATCAGGTCATTTCTTAAATACAACCTTTTCTTACTCCCATTCCCTTCCTCAAACACAACCTTCTCTACCACGGTGCACCTGGAATGCACCTTTTCCCAACTCCTCAGATATCATTGTCTTTAGTTCTCTAATTACATTTAATGTGATGACAACTCCATGGAAGCAAGGCTGACATTCAATACAATATATGATTACTTTGATCTCATTATGACTTCCTTGAATTGACCTCTATATACCGACTGTAGGCCCTTATGCATTAGACCTTGGAAAATGACCATTTTACCCTCGTTCTTTCCCACTATAAGTAGGACCCTTCACCCCCTCATTTAATACTCTTCAACCACCTGAACCGAAGCACAAACTCTCTCTATAACAGACATTTCTCTCTCTAAACTAGCATCCCTCTTATCTCTACTTGGATTTTCTAAGGCTTCACACACTTGTTGAAGTTTATATGTATACTTTCTGGGGTCACTTTCCAAGGTCCTGGCCAGCTCCTCAAAAGCTCACATTGTGACCCTGGAAACACCTTGAACCATGGGATGAACTCTCACTCTAACCTGTATCTTCTAAGGCCTTGGACACCTTGATTGGGGTTTACACTTATATCTCCCAAGGTGTCTCCCTGAGGTCTAGACCAACTCCTTGGAAGCCTACCCTTGGAGTCTGGAACACTCTGCACTATGGAACCATCACACACTCCGGACTTCCAAACCAAGCATCATACGACAACTTGAGGAACTACCTCCTTTAATACCTAGTCTCCCATCCCCTGGACTTCCCTGCACTTTCACCTTGGTCCTTGGCCACCATATCTTTAGACTATTGTTGTACATCCAAATCATTCCTCGAATCCTCTAACAAGTGCATTAATGGAGTTTATCACAAATTCCTCACACTTTACACCTTGGACTTCCAAGAAATGTAGCCACCCCAGTCCCTCAGATCCCTGGTTCTTTAGTTGTCTAATCACATCTAATGTCCACAAGTCTGCCATGCATATAATGCACCTGGACCCTCATGATGTCTACCTTAACTCAACCCTAGACAACTATGTATATAGATTTCAGAAATTACCACTCAAAAAAATGTCATACAAAAAATAATAATAATAATAATACTTTTACCATACTTGCAAATATTGTCGCCAATGAGTTCACACAAGTAGCACAGGTGCTTGCTTGGCAAGAAGGCCATTAGAAAGTCAAAACGCCAGAACTGTAATTACCCATTCTTCAATCAAGGAAGTTTCTATCTTTGAGAAACATGTGTCTTTGCGCATTTGGCTAGCAGACAGTTGAGAAAATTTGTGATAAAATCGTATTTCTTGAGGTAATTTTTTGAAAGTAAAAAGAGGTTATAGAGTATCATACCATATGCCTATTGCAAATCAAGCAAAAGGAACAGATAGAGAGAACCCAGATCAGGACAACAAAAGTGTGGTTCTCGTATTCAAATTTGATTTGTCATGGTTGTAAGCTACTAAGAAACAAATTTAAAAATAAAAATAAAAATCACAAGTTAATAATGAAAAGCAAGTGAATTTTGGTTGTCATATTGACCTAACCAATTCAAATGTCATATTAGGGAATTTCAGTTCCACCAGAACCAGAAGTGGAGTGTTTGGGAATTTTCTTACAAGATGGGAATAAACTATAATATTTTGTTGCACTTATCCTGCCCAATTCTCATTAGTCTGTGCTCATCGACCAAAGTTCATATTTGATTGACAAAGGATTAACAATGAATATGATATGACCAAGCAGTAATAATCAGAACAATCATGCAAATTATTGAGATCCAAACATATTGAACTAGAAGAGAACTTAAATCTATCACTCAAACCAAAGAAGAAGTAAATTAAACATATTATTATAAGAAACATATTTTTGTTTTCTATTTTTAAGAGACACAAAACACATAAAGTCCCAAATCAGGGGTCACACTCAAAACTTATTTATACTCCATCACTGAAAACAGACCAATATCCGTCCACACGCACAATAAATTCCATCAACTAACACTTAC